CCTTACTTTTTAATTAAAAATAACTTTTAGGGGCTGGAGAGATGGTTCAGAGCACTGGCTGCCCTTGCAGAGGCCCCATGTTCAATTCCAAACACCCACATGGTGGCTAACAACCATCTGTAACTCCAGTTCTGGGTGACTGATGCCCTTTTCTGACCTCCATGGGCATTATATGACATGAGTGCACCCACCTTCATGGAGGCATTATACTCATACACATAAAATAAAAATAATACATAAAATATTTTTAAAAAGTAATAATTTTGGGGCTGGTGATGGATCGGAGGTTAGGAGCACTGACTGCTCTTACAGAGGACTCAGGTTCAATTCCTAGCACCCCCATGGTGGCTACAAACCGTCCTTAACTCCAGTCCCAGGGGAATCCGAAGCTCTCTTCTGACCTCCATGGTATTGCATGGCATGGGTGCACTCACACACATGCAGGCAACACACTCAAACACATAAAATAAAAATAATAAAATATTAAAATAATTTTTAGCACAGGCTCTTACATTGTAGTTCAACCTGGCCTTACACTTGTAGTCCTCCTGGCTCAGTTTCCTGAGTGCTGTGATGACAGCTGTGTCCCACAATACCCAATCAGCCAACCTTATGTTTTTTTGTTTTTTTATGGCATATGTACTGCTAACAAGATTCACTTCCATCTTATATAAATCATAATACATCTACTAAAGTTGCAGAATATTTTTCTGTCAATAAAAAGAAACTAGAAACTTGCTCTACTGACATGAAACATTATTTTATGAGCTTACAGATCCTTAAGATTAAATGTTTACTAGCTTGACTTACTCTTGAGGAATACATTTAAAAAGAATGCAAATATATTTGAGACCTTATTATTACAGAGCTGTGGCTACACCAGACTTTCTGTTCTTTAAAACCTTCTTTTGCCCAATGGCAAGCTCGTTATCCAAGTGATCTGGGCAAGACACTGAAACAAAGCAATCAATACATACACATTGTTTAAAAAGTTTGGTGGGGCTGGTGTGGTGGTGCATGCCTTTATTCCCAGCACTCTGGAGGCAGAGGCACACAGCTCTTTGTGATTTCCAGGCTAGTCTTAGTCTTATCTATATAGTGAGTTCCAGGCCTGCCAGACTACAGGGATATCCTGTCTCAACAAAACAAAACAAAATAAAAAAGTTAAAAAAAAAAGTTTGGTGGGAAGAGAGCTGGCTCAGTGGTTAAGAGAGCCCATTTGCTCTTCCAGAGGACTGGAGTTCAATTCCCAGCACCCACATTGGGCATCTTGCAACTGCTTATAACTCCAGCTCTAGGGGATCTAGTGCTCTATTCTGGCTTCTGTGGGTACCCCCCCCCCCACACACATGGCAGACACACAGATACACACGGGTATGTAATCAAAAATAAAAAAAAATCTTAAAAAGTTTACTATGAAAGAATGAAAGCTTGTAAATAATCAAAATATGCATTATCTGGGGGAATACATAAATGACGGCACAGCTCTAGTACAGAACAGTAGGCTGTCATTACAAAGAATTAAACAGAATTTAGTGAAGCATGGAGGATCTCATTAGGTAGGGAAAAAAATGAAACAAAAATAAGAAAACCAATGAGCTGAGCAGAACAATTTTATACTACAACCTACTTACAAATATATATAATAAATAGAAAGATCGGGAAAGATAAACTTTTAACTAGTAAGCTTTGGGAAGCAGGATTGTAATATGTCTAATGAAAGAGAATACTTTTTATTTTACATATTTTGACATGTATTGTTTTGCTTTGTTGAGATATGGTCTCTCTGTAGTCCTGGCTGGCCTGGAACTCTATGTAGACCAAGCTTGCCTTGAACTTACAGAAATTTGTCTGTCTCTGATTCCTGGGTGCTGGGATTAAAGGTTTGTGCCACCATGCCTGGCTACATTTTAGAATTTTTTTTTTTTTTTTTTTTTGGTCTTTTTGAGATAGGGTCTCCTTGTAGCCCCAGCTGGCCTGGAACTCACTATATAGACCAGGTTGGCTTTGAACTCACATAGATCAGCCTGCCTCTGTCTCCTGAGTTCTGGGATTAAAGGCATGTGCCACCATGCTCAACTTGGAATTTTTATAATATGCATATATAATTTAATTAATATACTATAAGTGCTTTAAAAAATTTGCAATGAAGGCTTAGGACTCAGGTTCTCAGATGCCCCAAACAATATAGCCTAATATCACTGTTCTTGGTTGCCCACTACATGATAGGACTCTATTGCTGAAAATACCTCATACTTTGATTGTAAGATAGAGAACTCAAACTGGAACTGAGTTGGTAGCTTCCTCTCTGCTAGCTAGCTAGCTTTTATGGTTTATTCTTTAGTTTGTTAAGTGAGAAAAGGCACCAACAGTCTTACCCAGCTGTGGCACTTAACCACTATACAACAGAACTTCCACAGAAGATGTGCCCATTGGTGCAACAGTGGCATGACTGTTAAGTGGACAACCAACTGCTTTCTGATTGGATTTGAAGCCTGTTACACAGGAGGGAATTAATGCCTAGAACTGTGGCTAGAGAGGTTTTAGGCCCTAGGGGGAAAGTTACTAATGTTATTTTGCTAAATAGGCATGCTGTACCTGTCAAGTATCTCTAAATAATTATGTTTATGTCCATAGATTAGTGCTGCTCTCAGGCTTTGTGTCCTGAATGGTTCCGTTCCTTCAGGGGCGGGGCCTGCTGTGGAGAGTTAGCTATGGAGAGGGAGTTGTGGAGAGGGAGAGTTAGCCTTGGGGAGGGAGGAGCGTTGGCCAGATCATGGCAGTGGTGACTTGCAAAACATGGCCCTGTGTCTTGCCCCCATGGACATGAGAGGCGGGCATTTACCAACCTGGGGCAAGACAGAAGGCCTGTGAGGAGTGGACAGAGCTAGTGGAGACTGTGGGTGGGGCACAGAAGCGATCTTGACTCGTGAGGCACAGGGTGTTCACATTTGTAAGTTACTCTATTTCCCCTACCCAGGATGTATACTATGAAAAATTCAGATAAAGATGTGTTATATGGTTTCTCTAACAGGGCTAGGAGCAAGGGACCCTAAGAGAACTTGGGCAACAGCCTTGAGCAGAGAGGCCTCATTGTCTAGTGGATAGTAGTTACTGCAGAGACTCATAACTGGTCAGAATGCTGAGATGAGTGTTGCATTCTCAGCCTCAAACAGGACAACAACATCATCCCTGTTGCCAAGACTCAGAGGACATCACAGAAAAGGCGGCAGAAAGAATGTAAAAACCAGAAGGTGGGAGAAAGTGCAGTGAAATGCTGTTTCCAGAAAGGACATGGCTGTTGCACTCATGAACTTACAGGAGCACTCATCTTTTCAAAGTATCCAATTCAATGTTTCTTGGTACGTTGCAAAATTGTACAATCACTACTACTAATTCCAGACCACTTTAACCCTCCAAAAAAGAAATTCATGGTAAAGAGTGGTTCCCCAGTCTCCCTAATCCAGTAAATTTTGAATTTAAGTTAAAAAAATTATTTTTTTGTGTATGAGTGTTTTGCCTGCACATGTGTGCAGTGTCAGTGGAGGCCAGAAGAGGGTGTTAGATTCCCTAGAGCTAGAGTTACAGGCTGTTGTGAGCCCCCAATGTGAGTGCTGGGTACTGAACCCAGGTCCTCAGCAAGAGCAGCAAAGTGTTTTTAACTGCCGAGCCATCTCTCTAGCTCCTAAATTTAAAAAAAATTTGGAGTAAAAAAGATGTCAAGTTGAAAGATATACAGTGTTGTTTCTAGATACTCTGGGTGTAGAATCAAGAATCTAAGCTTTTTCTTCCCTTTACTATGATGCATTAGAAGCAGCACTGCCAACATAGAATACTATGTAAGATGTTTATGACAAAATGGCAGAAATAAAACTCCATCACCCTGGGGCTGCAGAGATACCGTAATTGGTGAAGTGCTTACCTCAGAAGCATGAACGAGGACCTTAGTTTAATTTCCAGAACTCACATAAAAAGTGAGTGGTGGGTGCTTGTAATTTCAGTGCTGGGGAGGTTGAGGTAGGCAGATCCCTGGGGCTAGCCTGATCTCCAAAAGGCCAAGACCCCATTTAGAGGCACTGTCTCAAAGAAAAAAAGAAACCACCAAAACCAAAAACAGGTCACATGCACCTGCACACAGTGATGTGCTCACATGAACAAGCACGCGCGCGCGCGCGCACACACACACACACACACACACACACACACTCTATCATCTTCAAATTACTTTTGTAACACAAACAGTCCTATTGTCCATTCTAGACATTGTAGCCCGAAACACTGTCAGAATGCAGACAGGGAAGGCAGAAGTCAGATGAGGATGCTGGTAGCAGAGTGGGACTGCCTGAAAGGGTAGTGGGGAGACTGGGAGGCCGTGAGCAGTGGGGTCCGGGTGGTTTTTTGACAGTTTACCCCTCTAACTTTCATTAGCCGGGTAGGATAAATACCCCTTGATGTTCTAATTGTGGAACAGCAGCACTGGAGTCATCTGAGAACTTTGTAGAAACGCAGAATATCTGCTACTACTTCCTCATCAGAATCTTCATTTTAACAAAGCCTCCAAAAGTGATCCGTCTGTAAAGTTTGAGAAGCTTGGCTTTCCTAGGTTCCCAGAACACTTTACAAAAGTAACCTAGGAGAAGGCTGAATCTGGGGTCCCCAGTCCCCAGACAACGTAGGGCAGGTGGCCCGGAAATGAGGCAAGGACCCGGGCCTGAGAACCGGAGCAGCTGAGTCCAAACTTGCCTCCGCTCCTGCCGGCTGTATCCCTCCTTCATTATATTTGTCGCTACCTGTTCTCTTTTCCCCGTAGAACCCGCCTCTAGGGCTCCCGAACTGGGCCTGCCCGGCTTTGGGGCCGGAAGCTCATCCCCACTGCGAAGACTCCAGAACCAAGGGGTCAAAAGTACCGCCAGGAGCGCGGGCCCCGGAGCTCCGCCCACACCTGACCGTCGGGGGTGGAGGCAAGTCGACCCGCCCCTTCCGAGCCAGCCGGAAGTGACGTCATGCCGGCCCCGGCCGGTCTTTCGGTGCTCTTCCCTCTCCGGTGCTCTTCCTCCCCGGTCCCTTCCCTCCCTTCCCCCTTTCCTCCTCCGGCTCCGGGTTCTGCGGCCGCGGGGGCGGCGGAGGTCATGGAGTAAGGGTCCGCCGCGGCCAGGCGCGTGGGCCGACCAGCCACAGCGGGGAGACGTCGCGGGGGGCGGCGGGGAAGAAGCCCAGCACCGCCCCTCTCGGGAATCGGCCGCGAGGTGAGTGACCGGCCGCGGGTACCGGGCTCCCTCCGTCTCCGACCAGCGAGCAGGCGATGGGCCAGGGCCTGCGCGCCGTCGGCGTCCCCGGGGCCACCCAGGCTGGCGACTGTTGCCTAGTGACGGGGTGGGTCGGGTCGGCAGACAGCGGACGCCCGCGACTAGCCAGGCGGGGTAGCGGCGAGCCGGAGTGAGCGGATCACAGAGGCCCGCGCCCGCAGGCGAGGCCTTCGGGCGACCGGGACTCGGGGCCAGGTCTTCTGCGCAGGGAGAGCTTCCTGAGCTGGCGCGCGAGTCGGGGTTTCCGCGGTGGATATCTTGGTATTCTTTTGGAAGACTGGACAGTGCTCCGGGACTGGGTGAGACAGCTTCCTCGGTTCTGAGACTTGGTTCCTGTGTCACCAACCGGGGCCCTACCCTTCTGTCGGCCGTCTCTGACAGTAACTATCTTTCTGGAATGGACTGGTATTGTGTGTGAGGTTGGGTGGGGCAGGTGGTTTGTTAAGACTTAAATTCCCGTCTGGGGCTCCAGTTCGCTTGTTTGTCCTAGCCACAAAAAGGGATAAAGGTTTAGACCCGTAAAGCTTGCAGAAACTTCTTGGGATTCGACTGAACGCGTACTTGTGATTGGTAATTAAGAACACCGGTGTTACCATAACCAGCTCTCTAACAGGCTTGGTGAGACTCTAGACTCGAGTGATTTAAAAGTGCTATGCCGGTAGTGACTTAATTGTAAGTTACCAGCTAGAGTTTGAGCACATTAAATCCAGGAATCGTTGGTATGATGACGTTTGAAAAAACTATATTCTTTAAGTTTTCTATGCCTTTGTTCTGAAAAATGTTTTAACAGAAATGCTGCAAATTAACCAGCCATTATAAAATTGGAGTATGTTCTGATGATGGCTTGAAAGTCAGGTGTTTTAAGATTTCTTTTAGGCTTTTGCAAGCATTATTTTCCTCATAAAGCTTGGAGGAGAATGGGGCTGTGTAAAGGAAAGGAACCTAATTTTAGATATGAGTCTTTATTTTGGTCAGATATACCTTATACACATGGGAAGACTATTCATTTTGTCTTTAAGATCCATAAGCAACTAATAAATACAGGCATGCTGTAGTTTCACACAATGGATCACAAATGTACAAATTAATCCTGTAGCTGAGAATAATAGTTCATGTTCACATAGTTGAAATGTATGATCTCCTCTCAAGAAAAAAAAATTGGGTTGAAATTTGACAAGTTCCTATCATGCTTCATTTCAGTCTCTCAATTGAAATCCTGTGGATTTTGCCATTTTAATATCTCTTGAATTGCCCTCTTCATTGGCAGTATTAACCTAGTTCCAGCCACCATCTCCTGCCTCTTGATTATCTACCTGCAGTCACTGTGGGCTCCTCCTGTGGTTTTCTGTGCTAGACTGACTTTTTTTCAAACTGAATCTGATCACATTGCCTCTTCTCATTGCTTTTAGGATTTACTGAAATCTTCCTTCAAAAATATCTTTTATTTATCTATTTTTATTTTTTGTGTATGAGTGCCTGCAAATAGGTAAGTGTACCTGTGTGTGCAGTATCCACAGAGGCCAGAAGATGGCATCAGTTCCCCTGGAACTATAGTTACAGACAGGTGTTAGCTGCTGGTGTTTGGTGTTCCACACCAAACCCAACCTCTGGAAAAGCAGGCAGTGGTTTTAACTGCTGAGCCATCTCTCCAGCCCCTTAACTGAAATCTTTAACATGCCCATAAAGACTTACATCAATGGCCCGTCTGATTGCCCTTTCAGCTTCATCTCTGCAGTATTTCTGGCATTGCCTTTCTTCCGTGATCACTGTGTCTGTCTTTCTGTTCCTCCCTCAGCCTATGACTTTTGGTTATACTTGGAAATATGCACAGCTACATCCAGCTACTGCCCATCTATCATTCAGCTCACTTGAGTGAGACTTGCCTGATCGATATAGATAATTCTCATTGTGTGATCTCAGGACACTATTGCAGGGTTGCTGTATGTATACTTAATAAATTAATGAGATATTCCTCATCCCCCAGTACTGTATAAATGTTTATTAAATGAATGGATTCACTGTTCACTAATGTATTAGTCCATATGTATCATCTTTAATTCTTAAGACAATCTCCTGGAGGTATGAATGGCCTTCTGTACCCTTTCAAAGGTTAGAAATCATGTTATGTAGGCTATTGTATTAGTTGGGGTTCTCTAGAACTGATAGAATATAAATATATTACAAAGGGGATTTATTAAACTGGCTTCTAGAATAGGAGCTAGGTAGTCCAACACTGACCATCTGCTCACTGGAGTGGTAGCTGCTCTGTTCATGAGGCTGAGTATCTCTGTTGAAGTTCCAGTCTAGTACCCAAGGCCTAGAGAATTCCTGGAGAGCTGCTGGTCTTCAGTTCACATGGGAAGACTGAAGAAACTGGTTCCTGGTGTCAGCAGAGGATGGCAACAACAGGGTAGATGCATTCACCAGCAAGGAATGAAGGGCAGGTGACAAGCAGCACTGATTTTTCAGACCTCTTTCTATCTGGGTTGCCTCCAGAAGGTATTGCCTACTCTGGGGGAAGGTCTTCACCCCTTAGTTAGTTAAGGAACTGCCTCACTGACCCTCCTATAAGATTTGTCTCTTAGTTCATCCAAGATCCAATAAAGTTGACCTCAAAGATTAACCATCACATCTGGTAAGCATTAGAAATGGCATTTGGAGTCTGGTATCCTTGGTATTGAATATTTATATACTTAATTCACTTAATTCTCACATGTTGCTGTAAGTTGGAATCACCTCGAGAACTTAATAAAAATCCAGATGCTCTAACTGCAGCTTTACAGATTCTGATTCCAAAGGGTTGAGACTGCCCTTAGGCATTTGTATGGGTTAACAAGTTACCCAGGCTATTTAGATGGTTACTAGTTTGAAACCTTTGTCTTACAAAATTCTTTTTGGTTGTTTTGTTTTTAAGACAGGGTCTCTTCTCACTATGTAGCCTGGGCTAGCCTGGAACTCAAATAGATCCGCGTGCCTCTGCCTCCTGAGGGCTGCCTCCTGAGGGCTGGGATTAAAGGCATGAGCTACCACGCCTGGCTGTTTTACAGAATTCTTAGGTGCTTTATGAGTTTTTCATACATTGTGCTACACTGCATTTTAGATTTTTCTTTCCTTCCCCTTCCATTCTCTTCCTGCTTCCTCCTCCCTCTTCCTTCTCTCCTCTCTTTCTGTTCCTCTTGTCTGCCTCTCCTTTTCTGTCCTTCTCCTTTCCTTTCTCTCCTGTCTCCCCCTTTCCCTTCTTTTTTAGGTAAAACTATTTTTTTAATTGCATTTATTTATTGTGTGTGTGTAGGGGAGGAATGCATGCCAGGGCACATGTGTGGAGGTCAGAGAACAGTTTGCCAGAGTCAGTTCTCCTACCATATGGTCCCAGGGATCAAACTAAGGCCATCAGGCTTTGTGGCAAACACCTTTGCCTACTGAGCTATCTCACCAACCCTAGTTTTTTGAGATTGTATAGCCTAGGTTGACTCTGAACTTAAAGTTTAGCTGAGACTGGCCTTAAACTCCTGATCCCCTTCTGAGTGCTGGGGTTATAGACTTGAATTACCTTGTATGGTGGGATTCATAGTTTCTTAAATCAAGAACTGTAAACACGGTATAGTGACTTAGTGACTTATGCCTATAATCCCAGCACTTTTTTTTGGTTTATTTTTGAGAGTGATTTGCTGTGTAGCCCTGGGTGGCTTGAACTCAGAGCAACCCATTTGTTTCAGGGTACTACTATTTTTTTTATTTTTTAAATTTTTACAAAAACTTTATTGAGAATTTCATACATGCATATAAGGCATTTTGATCAAATCCATGTCCACTCCCTTCCTTCCAGCATTCCCCCCTCTGAAGAGGTAACCCTAACAACATCTTTTGAGGATTAGATACACGCTCCCAAATACCTTTGACATTTTTGGCCTTTGGAACAGAGTATGTTGCTAACAGTCTCAAGGACATTTTGACTTTTAGCCAAGAAACTGGGGAATTTTTATCCTAACTATCTAGCTAATTTGGGGAATTTTTATCCTAACTACGTAACTAATTCCTACCTCCTATTCTTATCATGCCATCCTCTGAAGGGGTTACCCAAATAGCCAATAGGGAATCGGACACAGACCGCTCTGGCTTCTTCCATGCTGAACAGGGATGCAGGGTGAGGCAATTGGAGTACCCCTTCAGGGGATCTATCTAAGACTCCCAAATTGCATAACTATTGTCTCTAAGGGGAGAAGAAAGTCCTTGAATCATGAATAGGAGATGTCAAGGAGAAGTAAAGGCAAGAGCAATTAGCATTACAAGTTCTGGATAGGGAACTAGAAAAAAGTCAAAACAGGGCAAATTTCAAATGTTTGTATCAGAGTCCATTGAAATTTCTTGACCAGAGCTTCCAACAGCATCTCTCTATTAGGTTCCTCCTCATTTTTCTTTTGTCTATCAAGACTGGACTCAAGAATGATGGACTCAGAATTTGCTTTCAGGCATTTTGATAGCACAGCATGGAGACAGGATCCAGGCATTCTCAGGCAGTCCCCTGAGTTCTCAGTCCCTATGCCAGAGGGAGGCCAGAACAGGCACTCTCTTGACAGT